TCCACTGTTTATAAGATTTGCTGCCCTGAAGGCAGTCAGATCACATTTGCGTATCTCACCACACTCTAAAATCTACAGTAAGGGCAGCCTGAATCAGAAATGCATAACTGATTTGTTTTCTTATTCATTCGATTGCATGGCTGCATGCTTGTACCCTACACAGCCAGCTCAAATATGCTGTTAAGAAATGAAACACAGTATACAGGATAGTATGCAGCATAATACACTCCAAAAAGAACAGGCTTTGCTTTTTCCATATTCTGCTAAATACTCCATAAATTGTACCAACATGTAATTATTTGACCTTATATTTTCCTAAACGTTGAACCACAAGTGCTTAATGCTAAATGGCAACCTTTTTTTGTAACATTATATGCTTTGGGGTCATCGCACAGTGTGTAATGCATCATTGTGCAATATTCAATGGCCATAATAGTACTTGGCTAAGCTCACCTCAAAATGTACTAAGTTACTCCAAGAATCAGATGCATAATGCAAAACATATACAGGGTAACCAGGGGACGCTGAACTGTCATTGCAATGAGAACTCGGCAGAGCCAGCCGTGATATCACGGCTGGCTCCACTAAGCTGTCATTAGTTCAGCGTCCCCTGGTTACCAGGTAGCCAGGGGACGATGAACTGTCATTGCAACTGGCCAGAGCCAGCTGTGAGATCACGGCTGGCTCCGCCTAGCTGTCAGTTGCAAGGCTTTCGGTTGGCCAAAGGACGGCCGCTCGGCCCGCTTCAGGTTTGACTTTAGCTCAGTCAAGCCGAAGCATATGCCTTCGGCTCGACTGAGCTGCTCAGCCAGCTTCGGGAGCTGTACGGGCTATAGTAAATAGCCCCTACAGCAGCCCTTCCGTTCTACTGAACCAAAGAGCTCAGACAGCCAAAGCTAGCCGAAGGATCCGCCGGAGCTATGGCTGATCCTTTGGCTAGCTTTGTGAATAACCCTCATAATCTATTTAGATTCCTATATTTCACAGTATATTTTACTTCTAAAAGTTTTCTGAATTTCCCACAAAAATTATCTTTTTTATCATTATTAATGCAGATGGTAACACAATGAAGACACTGTCATACAGAAAATTGTTGGTAACCCCACTATACTTTACAAATGAACATTTGCATTTTGATCCAATCTGAAATTGAAAAAAAATGCAATTGGAATTTAGATGTAATTGGTGAAGAAAATGACATAAAGGTTACATTCCATGTGCTGTATGATTATACACTGAAAAGCAATGGTCAGCCTTGGGCAAAGCAGTCTGGCTCTGTACACTATGAGCCTTGTTTCTGATGGCTTACAAAGCATTTCTTTAAGGAGAAAACAGAACACCCTTTGTAAATAGAAGTTCACGTTTCTGAATCGATGAAGTAACATTTAGGCAATGGCTAGTATACAGTCCAAAAAGAACAGGCTTTGCTGTTTCCATATTCTGCTAAATACTTTATAAACTATACCAACATGTAGTTAATTGACCTTATAGTGTTCATTATGATGGTAATGATTAAATTAAATAACTCTGCATTGGGCTTATTAACTGAAAACATCAATTTACAAAAAAAAGGCCCACAAGACTTTCATAACAACATCATCATTTCTGATGTGCAGCATCAGAAAATGTACCAATGCCAGCAAACTAATTCCAAGTGCATGAGCACAGATTTGATGTTAAAGCATTGTGTGAGGAGAGATAGGTGGAAGGCTAAAGTGATATTGAAGTCAAAAGGTTTTTAAGCAATTACAATTGCTGACTAAATCACTTAAAATTGCTGCTCCTTGATGTTTAAAAGTTTTAGCTTCCTATAGAATCAGATAGTGCCCTGAGCTCTGACCGTGATATCCTGTTTTAAGGTGGCTCCTTTTCCTTGCAGGATTCTATGGAGCCACCCTTGTGTATGCTAGTAAGCTGTGTGCATGGCTCCACAAAAACACAGATAATTGCAGAAACGTCACCAGCACACCAAATCCTTATAGGATCAAAATTCGTAGATTTATCGCAAACTCATGTCAGTTACACAAGCGCTTTCGGGGCCACACAGGGTCCCATCATCAGGCATAGCAATGACAGGGGGATGAAGCAGGGGGGCGTTACTGCAATTATCTGTATTTGGCGGCACCATCCGCAGTCATTCCAAGCACCCCTCCCCGATCACAGGTCATACCGGTAAGGAGTGCAACTAGTCTTTTCTTTTTTCCACAAAAACACAGACACAGCAAGGCAAGCCACCCTCTTCTTCCATTTCCAAGCTAGTAGATGCACAGATGCTGGAGACTGTGCTGTCCCTTGTGATCTTGTATTGGGCAGGGAGTTTAGGGATGCCAAGCTGAGAGAGTTGGAGCCAGCTGTTTGAATCATGAAGATTGTAAGTGCTTGGGCAATAAATAAATACTTTGCTGGGCAATTTATATTTGCTTGTCCTGGATTCCTTATTGCAAAAAGCTTAAGAGTTTAATACTACTTTAAATTACATTTTGTTCCATGGCTAGTTGTGTAAACAGTGATGGTGTCAAGACAGGCTTCTGCTTAAAGCCAAAAACGTTGTGACGCAAAGAGTTTGAAAGAGAGAGAAGGGGGAATCCATTTCCATTCTCTCTGGATTGGACTGGAAAGCAGGACAGAAGTCTGCAACATTATATTATAAATATGAAAGTGTTACTGACAGCAACTTGATGTGCGGGTAGCTGTGTGGCGTCTCTGCCAATGTCAGACAAGGCTGTGTGCCACCCCTGCCAGTCCACTGCCCTAGGTTATTGCCCATCTTGGTTATGCAGAGATGCAGGTCTGCGTATACTCAAAGATTCTTCAAAGTAGAGCTGTATGAGTTAACACTGGAAATGTCAGCAGGAAGTATGTGTGAGTTGTTAGTTAGGCCCCTTTCACATTGGCACCGGCCGTTCCGATCAGCAGGCGATCCATGGATGGATCTCTTGCTGATTGGAGCAGAACAGAACAGATGTCACTCTTGTCCATTCAAATCTGGCTGCCCATAGAGTGACATCGGGGTTTCGATCAGATCCGCCTGAAAAACTGACAGGCAGACCTGATCAGATCACCCATGTGAAAGGGGCCTTACACTTACCTCCGTGCTCTACTTTCTAAGTTACATCTCTTCATAAACTGTACCCAGAGCTCAGCAGTACCATTATCTCACTGCTTCTTGTCTGTGCACTTACTACTTCTCATTCTTGCAATGTTTTAAATAGAATTAGTCCCAGCACGCAAAGTCAGAAAGTAGCAAGGACCGGAAGGAAAATTGACATGGGCTGCATGCATTGAGCTGACAGTACCTTTGCAATCCAGGTACAATGTTAGAAGGGCTGGATCATAGCACAAAAGTAAGTGTAATCAACACTTTGCACCTACTTTCCACTGTCCTTTCCGTAGACATTTTTTAAAAGTGACACTAAAATCATGAGTTAAATCATAAAATGTGTTCAAGTACCCTAACTATTAACGAAAATATGTATATCCTCAAATCATCTCTGAATTCATGCTGACACTGTCCTTCCTTCTGGAGGGTGGCTACTTTTGTTCTCTATGGTCCCTTTGTGTTGTAAAGTAGCCACCATTCCAAGCTCACTACTGTGATGGACTATAATTTCAGTACAAATTAGTAAACTAAGGGGGTTCTTCACAAAGCTGCTGAAGGCAGCCGAGTGAATAACCCAGCCAAACTACATTCGGCTATTCACTCCGGCTCAGTACGGCTGATTTCAGCCATACATTGGCTGAAATCAGCCGTACAAAGGCTGCCTTGCACTTCGGTCAGTGAGTGAATAGCCGAATGCTGCTCTGAGGTACCTCTGACCCCGCTCTGAGGTACCTCTGAGGCCGCTCTGAGGTACCAAGCAGAATAGCAAATAGTGAGAAAAGTAGAAAAAAAAAAAGGTAAAAAAATAATAAATAAATATTAAATTAAAAAAAATAAAGATTTAAAAAATGTTTTATTAAAAAAAAGCAATTGGGCAGAGCTAGCAGTGACAGCTAGCTCTGCCCAACTATTTCCTATTGGCCGGCACCTGCTAGAGTCTTCTAGCAGGTCCTGGCCAATGAATAACAACTGGGCGGAGCCGAACGTGAGGTCATGGCCAGCTCCGTCCAGTTGTTATTGTTTAATGACAGATCAGCGTCCCCAGGTCATTTTGGGGATGCTGATCTGTCATTACAACCGGGCAGAGCCAGCCGTGAGATCACTCAGCTCCGCCTAGCTGTCATTTGCGGGGCGAAAGGCCAGCTGTTCGCCCCGATTCAGGTGTCACTTCAGCTCAGTCGAGCCAAAGCATATGCCTAATGCCTATAGTGAATAGCCCGTACAGCAGCCTTTCGGTTCGACTGAACCGAAGGGCTTCGGTGGCCAAAGAGAGCCGAAGGATCAGCCCAAGCTACGGCTGGATCCTTCGGCTCCTCTGTGAATAACCCCCTAAATGTGCAATTGTAGTCCATCATGAGAGTGAGCTTGGAGCGGTGGCTACTTTACAACACACACAGGGTAATGGTGAACAAAAGTAGCCACCCTCCAGAAGGAAGGACAGTGTCAGAATGAATTCACAGATGATTTGAGGATCTACAACTGAGTGATACACAAATAAGATACATTTTTGTTAATATTTAAGGTACTTAAATGCATTTTTTAAAGATTTTACTTCTGAGTTTAGTGTCACTTTAAGGTCTAATTTATTATCCCCAAGTTCTGCATACCATTATATAGCATTGCACTTTCTAAATGAGGTATCTGTATGTCAATTGTCTTACGTGTTACAGACTACACAAATGCCATACAATCTGTCACTTATATGTGTAAGTGACACTCTGACAGTTCTACATCATCTAACACTTTGTTTTCACAGATAAGACAGTATGGAGTCAGTGCTATGGCTTCATCCAGTTCTACAACAGTCTAATCATTTTCTCTGAAATCAAGTTGTAGGCTGCAGCTCTGTGCTTCCAGAGGGAGGGTCTAAAATTGAAGGTAAACTTGATTGCATTGAAGGAAGTGAGTGAGTAAGCCCCAGCTGTACAGCCTGTATCCTGTATCCTGACACTCAGAAGATAAGGTGGCTCGGGGGCTAGTGGAGCTCTCCTACTGGTATATGAAAGCTTAGTTCTCTCTGCCCTTATTTAGATTTTCTACTGTAGTCTCCAGGGGGAAAACAGAGCGACTGGCAACAGCAGAGGATGAGATTCTTTTCGTGAAAAGCGACGTAGCTAGCCAGCGGACATCCTCCTTTGCTTCACATCTGGAAAGTAAAATCCCAAGTTTAATTATTGGAAGCTCCACACAAGTAAGGAGGGTGTGTATCAGACAGAGAACTGTACTACAGGGGAAAAGAAACTGGAGGCAAGCAAGGAATGGCTAACATTTCCCTTTGGATGTATGCTTACGTTCTGCCAGTATTTTTGTGGCATATCTACCCTTGCAGTGCTTCATTTGAGGGTAGTGCATTTCACCTGGAAGCTGAAGGTAGCACTTCAACCACCAGCAAGATTGACTCCAATATCATAGATGTGCAGCAATCCTACATCCCAGCCAGACTCATCCCACTGTCACAGGTAACTTTATCTATTCCGCCTGTCATGGGTTAATTTCAGATTGCAGGAAACTGTTATATAAGCAAAAGATTTATATTTATAAAAACAAGTGTTAGCAGCAAACCGCCACTAATATTTTATTATATTGTGTATTCTATTACAGTATCTATTTATTTACACTTGGCACTGATTCTCACGTTTTGTAACAAGAAGTTCAAAGCTCCAAAACACTCAATATCCCAAATCCCATGCTTTTAGATTGTGACTGTACACATATGAGCGCTCAGGTGCCTGTAGCTCAATGCTTGAAACTTAAAAGGGTATGTGAGATACTTTTGAAGCAGAATGAGGTGTTTTTGTCCCTGCAGACTTCAATGGAAGCACCTGACAACTCCTGGAAATGAGTGATTTTTAAGGAAAAACAACCATCTCCTTCTCTTAGTACATATTTTACATTGGCTCAAAGCAAAAATGCTCAAGGCTGAAACCGCCAGAAAAAAACACGCAAAAATGCACAAATAAAAACGCTCCAAAATCTGAAAATGCTCAGGTGTGAATGCTCAGAGTGGAAGAGCTGCTGATGTAAAATATAACACTTTTTAGAACTGAGATTTTCAAAGTGTGCTATCCATTATCATGAATAATCACTTGAGTAATCAACATTCATTGATCCAAATGAATAAAGCTTAAATATATTGTAAAAGTGTGTGAATAATGATATTAATAGGGGCAGGTCAGTCTCATAGAAATGCTATTGCCACTAGAATGGCATAGAAATGTCTTACATAAAGTGAATATGTACCTTGTAATAGAACTACCAACCTAAAATGGCACTTAAATGTGAAATAACACAAAGCTGTGACACTTATCCTCTTTTTATTTAGAATCTACACATCCATGAACCACAGGTCAGAAACATGACATCACACAGGATAGGAAAACAGTTGCCTCACTATTTGGTTCCAGTTGTGCATGTCCTATAGGTCAATGATTAACTTTTAGTTTGTGCTAACACCAAAATAACAAATGCTCCATGTCTTTAAATAGTTCCAACGGTGCTGTTAGTGTATGTGTGGGTGTGTGTGGTGTGTGTGTGTGTATATAGGTATATATATATATATATCTATATATATA